AAAACGTTGATCGCGCCAAAAACCGAAAAGACCAGGCGCGGCTAGACGCAAAAGGAGACAATTGGCGAGAAAACTGCACGGAAGTCGCACGACTTACGAGTTTTTGAAGGAGATCGTGACATGGCAAATGTTAAACCTTTTTTTTGTGTTAAAAAAAGAAAAAGAGGATATACGTGATAAGTAAAAGAAAAGTTAAAAAATATATACATATTAATATAAAGAAAAGAAAAAGGGGACAAAAAAAATATTTACAAGTAAAGAAAAGATAAAAAATATATACAATTAAGGAAAGTAATAATAATAAAAGGGTTAATAAAAATAAAAATAAAATAATACATTTACAATAAAAATCAAATCGAAGTCGACCAGCGACTTCTAACAAATCTATAAATATTTCATCCTTGCCCGTAAGGATAACATTATATACAGATTCTTTAGCCTCAGACAGTGCACCCTTTGTAAATTTATCTTTATTGGGAGCTACCACGACACTAATCGTCCCTCTTGGCTGCCGGGTGAGTGCACCGTCCATCTCCCAGATGACAGAGGGACCTGTAATTTTAGAAATTGATTAATTGATAGGATAATTAATAAATATAATAATCAAATTTGATTAAAATGTACCTATTTTCTTCGTGCTCCAATTTTTACGAAGGGAATATTTAAAATACGTCGTGTATATCAATCCCTCTGTCACCGCAACCCCTATAAATGATATGAATGATATAAAAAATATGTAGAAAGTGAGAAATTTGTGTCATCGCTGTTAAGAATAAAGAGAACTTTCACAGCTAAAACCGTGGCCACAATGAGCTTTCAATTCACAGGCATTTTACACCTAGCGGAAGCGTAACTTCAGATAGACTACAACTCAACAAAAAACTCTACAAGAAAAACTCACCCAATGTGTTCACACTCAACTCCAGACTCCCTTAATCGGTTGAGTGAGGACGTCTAGCTCCAAAGCTCTTCCTCTAACAACTGTTGAAGACATTATGTATTTTTTAAAAAAAATTTGTGTATACAAAGTTGCTAAAGTGAATTAATTACATGTTTTGAAATATAATCGATTTGGGGGTGTTTCTTGAGTTTGCAATATAAAAAAATTGCAAATTATTATTATTATTATTTTGAAAAATAGGAAAAAGAAATTTTTTTTATTTTTCACAAAGAAAAAGAAAAATGATCTATATATAATCGAGTTTGATTATAACATCGCGGATAGATTATCAAATTAATATATCTAATATACATTGGAGGTAAGAGAAACGCGGAAAATCTGCATCACCTCCTGAGCATACATCTCCCGATCCTACTATCCCTTTTGAGCACTTGGATGATGATGATACCGTTTCTAGAGATAGCCTTTCTCAATGAGTGATAGGTTGTGTATACGGAATCTCCAGGCTATGATATCAAAGCGAGAAAACGAATAATTATAAATTTTGTCACAACATGTAATATAATTTTTTATTGTTTTTTATTTCATGATCAAAATCATGTTCGTCCATGTTTTCTATCTGAGATTAATTCAGAAAAATTGAAATCCTTCACCCGTATAGATATGCCAAATATGTCTTGCAAGAATAAATCAAAGAATAACAGACGAAATACTCAAGGGAGATTCACCACTAATACTATGCAAGACTTCTTACAATATCAAAACCGGGAGAAGTATATGCATAAAATTATATAAATATCATGATTCTCAGCAGAACTGGAAACGTCAATTCATTTTTTCGGTAAGCCATCAAAGTATAGACTTATTACAGAAAGATATGTCGAATAATATCTGATCAATAAAAAAAAGTAAAACTGAGGTTATGTAAATCCACGATCACCCATTCTACCCAATATTTTTGTCATGTTATATTAGTATATAGAAGTATTTCATCGTGTAAAACGGATTAAAATTAAACTGTATTATATAGTTCATTAAGTATGAAAAAAAAAATAAATCTAACCAGACATCAGTTGGACCAAGTATACACCACCTCAAACAATCTTGACCACCAATATGCATCATCTTGATAATGATGTCCTGTATTAAGAATCATAAGATTATACTGTCCAATAAAAGGTTTCCAACCAATTGTAATATCATTTAAATCTATATCACCCGATTCAAATAAAGAATGGCTTACAGTTAAATGATCATTTCTAATGAATCTTAATAATGAAGCACCAAATTCTGGTTTTTCGGAGTCATCACTATCTTCTTCCTTGGATAATGAATGGTCTTTACAAAAAAGTTCACCATAACATTGAACTAGTCCATCATGAAAATAATCTATGAGCATATCATGAAATTGAAAATTTGTCGAGTCACCAAATATTGAAATTCTTTGACCCGATAAAATCTTACAAGCTTCTTTTTTAGTAAATTTTGGTAAACTACATTCTTCATCTTTATTTTTGTTCTTCCATAGATATTTGACTGAATCTCTTGGATTTTCAAAATATTCTTTAACTAATGCTTTATCAGTTTCTAGCGATGAATATTGTACTTGTTGTAAATAATGATTATTTATATCACATTCATCAAATAATGGTTCTTGTTTATGCCTTATAACAGGTCTGGGTGTTAAATCTATTTGCCACTCTCCATTCTCTATAATATAATCTAATTTTTTACGAAAAGCTGAAACTTTCTCTATGGTATTTACTTTAGTTCCATAAATCAGTTCATTGTGTTTTTCCAACATGCTTTGTTTTAAATTTTGTCGTATAAATTTATGTGCTTTTATTATTCCATCATTTATTAATTGTTGATATTTATCTTTAAGTAAAAGTTCTCTTTCTGGATTAGTGATGTTATAATTTGATTTTATGAAATAATCATGATTTTCTTCGTTATAATTATTATTTACTGGTAATAAAAAATGCAAAGAAAAAATCATAACGACGATAATAAAGAGTATACGAATTTTACGAAACGATGATGATATTTGTTGTTTTAAAAGAAAGGGAGATAAAAAATTATTTGAAAAATAACATTGAAAAAAATTTATTTTATATGGACATTATTAATTGTCAAACGTGGATTTAAAAAATCCTTAAACTTCAAATTTAAAACTGTACCTAAACTAGTGATGTTAGCCGGTAGAAAAAATTTAGCTAGCTAAGAACTTGTAAATTTTTTATCGGAATATTTTTTTTGTGAATTTGAAATTCAAACCCAATTCACACGATTTGATTAAAGGGGGATCATACTCACTTGAGCAACTCCAGATACTACTTTTATTTAATGAAACGGAATTTTTTTTTCAGGTTTAATAATAAATCAGTTGATTCAACCCACATTGGTGGTGTGGAGCAAAACAACAACATTCTCATTTGATATTACCATCATGATTTATTTTTATATGCAATAACGATAATATGATAATAACTTGATGACTCTTTATCCATTTTGCCGATTTCATTGATTGTGGAGATTTTAAATTGTCGTGTTGATGATAATAATAAATCAAAACCTACGAATAAGTTTGAATTATCTGATTTGATTGGCCAAGAATATTACAAGAATATAGAAACAATATATTGTTTCTGAAGCATATGCAAGAAGGAATGCAGCTGGTGTGAATGGATTGATCGTATGCTGGAAGGCAAAAAGGTCAAATGATGCCTGGTGATTTTTTCTTCGGGTTTTAAATTAATTTTTATTGAATAATAATATTAATTATTTAAATAATACTATATAAAGAAGAATATTCTTCATCTAATTAAATTAAAAAAGAATATATATAATTTTTTTAAAAAAGTATATTACAAGTCTCTTATATAAATAATATTTTCCCTTATAAACGGAAAAAGTCTACTTTAGAATTGCATGTATTAGTATGTATGTGTTTGTGCCAAAAAATCTTATCATTATATCAGCACATTTCCAGTGTTTGCGGTTCTTGTTGCCCTTGGTCCTGGTCTATTCGTTGGTCTTGGTTTTGATCTTGATACATCAGTTGGTCTTGTTCTTGTTCTTGACGCATTAACTGGTCTTTTGGTAGTTGTAGTTGTAGTAATAATTGGTTTCTAGCTTCTCTAGTTTTATTCATTAGATTCATAAATATATCTATGAATTTTCGAGGTCCTATTTTAATTTCTACAGCATCAGTCATATTCTATCCTCTGCAAAAATCTTCATCATTGCATTGATATCTCTTTGAAACTTTCTAGATTTTTTTCCAGCTATATTTTTCTCGCTTGGATCAACACACAATAAATCATATGGATTGTATGTGGGATCTGGAGTATCAATTGGTGGACAATCCGAATTTTGACGTTGAAATTTATTTCATCAAACGTTGACAAATTTCCCCATAAATCCAATACAGGCAGATCATTATAATCCGCTAAAGCTCCACCAGGAAGCTCTTTGAATATGACATTTTCAGTCATCAGTGGCACCATCAATATTGATAGTGGATCATGTTTACCTTCTCGGAAATGAATGTAAGTATCATCATATTCAGCAATACTTGTTGAAAAACTGGTGAAATTACTAAAATTTGGATATAACATTACATAATCTCGGAAATATAAAGTTCAATAAAAACTGTTTCCATGAATTTTTCCAATGATTGAAACGACTATAAGGAATTCTTATGGATTGAACTTTATAGTTATTATTATCATCTTCCAGGCGATCAATAAGATACTGATGAAATTCATGCCAAATCTCAGGAAAGTAACCACCACCCCAATCACTAGGTACCTGACAAAGATAAGGTGACCGAACATCATATCTTGTGTTGCGAAATACTTGTTCAGGGTAAAATTTCTTGCGACCAGGAAGTGGAAGTTCTGTGTGTTTTGGATTGTATAAACTGATACCATACATCCTATTACTGTGTACCTTATCAGGATCATATATATACTTTAAAGCGATATACTTGACCAGATATAATAGAAGGGTGATGATTTCAATATCATCTTCTAGTAGAACTGTATGATCATGATTACTATATGGGTAATATGCTTCGGCAACAAACCACCCTGAGCTATTCTATGTCTGATGTTTTAAAACCATGGTCCCAACTAAATTTATCAGCTAGTCTAACAATATGTGTGCTTGCACCTTTACCATATTAATTGTCAAAGGAATTTCATCTCCAAAGTATATAGATGAATCCAATGATTCTAAAAGCCTACTAAAAGAATTAGGTCGGCTCTGAGTAAGTATTTGCAAATGGAACTTTGGTAAATTCCAACCTTCATAAATGATTATAATAAAATAAAAAGCAATAGTATTATTATTATTATAAAAATAAAAAAATAATATTTATATATTCATGCATTGATTAATATATTTATGTATAATAGAATACTGACTTTTTAATGTTTCAAAGGACAAATCAGCCATAATTTCTACAGCATTCAAAGACAATTGTATTTTAGTAATATTTTTAATTCCATCAGTTGCAATAGTTATTTCATTAATTGCATCATCATCATCAATCATTGGTATATTACAACTCTTCTGGTTTGAAATAATGCAGCATCTGATTTTGAAAATCTATTAGAGAAGAAAGAAACGTTTACCTGCTCAATCAGGAGAAAAATATCATGTTGTATATAATGATGAGAGTAATAGCCATAATGAAATTGGTAAATCATGCATTGTTAAGAAAATTAGATCAAATAACCGTAATGATGAAAACATTTATGCCGCTAAAATTATCAATGTCAGTGATGGAAAATATGACAAAAACAGAATAATTGAATATAGAAATGAAATTGATATTTTGAAAATGTTGGATCATGAGAATATTGTAAAGGTACAAACAAAGTTGAGCGCACACATAAAAAATCATATGTAAGGATGTTTTATTGGGAAAAATGCAGATCAATTTTACAAATAATAATAATAATAAGGAAAATTAATATACAGAAAGGTGTTGTATAAAATGGCTGTTTCTGGGACAAAACTGGATATTTCTGGGACAATTTATCCAGTTTATAGCTACAAGGCCTTCCAGAAGCTTATTTCATGGATTTCGATATCTTTTATATATACTTGAGCGTCAATATATAATCCTTTCATAAACTTAAATCCAGATTTTTTATTGATAAATTCATCAATCTTAAGTAATATTTCGTCAAAAGCTTTAGATATAAGGTCATCATTAATATCACTTTCATTCAAGATGTAATCCATTGTAGTTTTGTATGGGTGGTCTTCTGGTTCTTTTCTAATATATGTAACACCATCTTCACCCATTTCAATCCTAGTTGTCTCTGTAGTTGCTTGCAATAAGATTAAAAATCGAATTCTTTTTTTCTTTGATTGCTCCAATCTTAAAACATTCTTTATTTTCTCTCTGACACTTTCTAGAAGCAATAATTCATCATGCTTTACTTCATTATCTTCTGGTACTATTCCTCTGTGTAGAGCAATTATTTTTCTTTTTTTCAACCACCCAGATAACTCTATCTCTCTGAATATTATTTCTTTTTCTGGAGTGTTTGCAGGCTTTTTCTTCTCGGCCTTCTTTTGGACTCTAGCCTCTTCTCTTCTTTGTGCTCGACTGCTTGATTCTGCAGGAGATTCTGGGATTATTTCCTTCTCCTTACCTTTCCTTGAAGGTATAGATTGTTTTATAATATCGATGGGCTTTTTGAATGATTTTAATACTTCTCCCAAACCAAGGCATGTTGGTTGCCCAATAAATAGTCCCCCACTATGCTTGTTTCGAATTTCTTCTATGATAGGGGATTTGATTTCTGGTTGAGCTGGTGCTTGCTCTGGAACTGTATTGTCAACACCACTGAGCTTTTCTCAGATTCCACTGATGATTGAACCAATGCATGTGAAAATACCAGACATCTTTTTTAAAAATATATCTTATAAATTTAAATGTTTAATTCAAAAATTTTATACAAGATTCAAAATATGGTCTCTATATACGAAGCTTTCAAATCTTTCTATTTCATTTTGTGCTATATTTGTAAGATTTAACATATGTTGCATTGTAATACATTTCTCGTTCATATCTATATATAATTGTTTGGTTTCCTCATCTGCATCATCATATTCTGCATCATCATATTCTGCATCATCATATTCTGCATCATCATATTCTTCATCTTCATATTCGAAATAAGTATAAGGAAGTTTATCCTGAGCTTTATTAAATGTGTTCTGAGCTTTAAAATATTCAACAGTTAAATCTTCACAAATTTTTATAAGATTTTTATGTATCCTAATATATTCATCTAACCTATCAAGATTTAGATATCTTATAAAGCTATCCAATTTATTGATCCTTTTTAATCTTAACCACTCCATTATGTCATCCCTATCTCTATATAATTGACACCTTCCCTCTTTATACCATGCTTTGTTTACTAACATTACATTAGCAATTTTTAATGGGTCTTCAATTTGCTTTATAATTTTACCAATTAGTTCTGGTGGTAGTTTAAACACTGGAGCATTAGTTTTCACATACTCAACCACTTCTCTGACCTCTACTAGATCTCCTGCCTCGAATGGGTCTTTGCTCTCATCTAGATAAGAAATTGCTTTAGTGATATAGTTAAAAGTTTGGGTAATATAAGATAACATTTTTGTTTTATATAGATTGCAGAAATCTTTAATTCGAAAATTTTATTATATGGTGAAAAATTTTTCTTTCATCACATAGTAAATTGTTATGCTATTTGGCTTTCTGTGGCATGCTAGCTCAGTTCATAGATATTCATTACATTCATATCTATTCCTTTGCTAGTCCATTTTTATTGGAAAGCTGAGTAGTATAAAAACAGATTAAATCAATGTGTACAAGGCCATGTGGATATACATATAAAAGATATCAAAATCCATGAAATAAGCTTCTGGGCGACCTTGTAGCTATAAACTGGATAAATTGTCTCACATAGTAAATTGTTATGCTATTTGGCTTTCTAAGGCATGCTAGCTAATAGATATTCATTACATTCATATCTATTCCTTCACTAGCCCATTTTTATTGGAAAGCTGAGTAGTGTAAAAACAGATTAAATCAATGCGTACAAGGCCATGTGGATATGCATATAGTGCCGATCATCTAAAGACATCACAAAATGTTGCCAATCTTTAAATGCTGATACTTCACTAAATATGGGCTATTTTACCAAAAACTCTCTATTTTTGCAATCTTCTGGACATGAAAAATAATGTAATAGAAAGTTTTTTTTGAGTTAT